GCAATGACTTGGTCCCACCTCTGCTTACTGGATTTCAAGACCAGGCAGAAACAAACATGATGTCAGGGTAGTGGGAAGACTAGGCACGACCGGCTAGCCACGAAACAACAACAATAATCCCACAAAGACAGACTAAGGGAGAAAGGTGTAGTTAGTTCAGTCCCAATCCCTTGAATTCCCTTCACGTTTTATGTGTAGGAAAAGCTTCTACATTCACGATTAAACATAGCCCTGACTTCTGCTGTTGTTTTCCTGCGATTTAATTTCGCCAAGCATTTAAGTGATCATCAATAATGATCAGTTCGGATTTCTCTCCATCTACATTTCTTACTTCCTTGAAGATGATGGCCCCCCACTGTCCTTCCAGTTTTAATAATGCCTTGGGTAGTTCTTAACCCAATATTAGGTACAGTTTTCGCAATCCCCTTAGATGTTTTCTCTGCTTGATGCATGTCAATGTTTTGACCCATAAATGTACTAATATATATATATATATATATATAGTAAAGATATTATTATTATTATGATGCTTAACTAATAGTGAAATTACTGCATCATAAAAGTTAAACCTCAAGAATGGAAAACTACTGAGTAATTGTGTGACAACTGTAGCATGACAAGATATGACAGAACAAAACAATCCTTTATAAATCGTGACATCTGAGTAACAAAGGTCACGGTAATTTGTAAGTTTCAGGACGGCTTTTCAAAAGACGGCTAAGGACATCCAATCAGAAGATGACAACGTTTGCGTGCACAACTTTGTTATGCTTAAAAACCTGGGTCAGGGAAAGATAGTTGGTCAGACTTCGTGAACTGACATCCTATACTGTTTGTCAGGGATGCTCAGATCTCTGTATCTCTACTTTCCCAGAGCTCTGGAACTGCCTATTTTGCTGATTCCGTAATAAACACGAGTTAACAGGAACTGACTCACACAGAGAGAGATTTAAGCAGAATGAGCAGAACCTAACAATATACATACATATATAAATATATAAATATATATATAAATAACGCAAAAATAGATCTGCGCAGTAGAGCAGAGATGGTTTTTATATTATTTATATTATATATATATTTATATACAGTATTATTTACGTATATATTTACCCTTTACAAACCTCCCCCATCGACCTTCCGTAGACTGTATTACCCTTTCCCACACGTCATTATATGCACAGTAGAGTTGTATAATGGAAATACAAGACATACATATTACCTGATGTATAGATATATATACAGTAAGTTCACAAATATACAGTATATATACATATATAGGAATTTGAAATATGAAAAGATTTGAACCGATTAATCACATAGCTGTTGATTATTCATCACTAATCAGAATGAATCAACATTCTTAATTATGACTAAAAATTATGACTAAATTCTGTGTAACGGCTGAATAAAACAAAACACACCCACACATATATATATATATATGGGGCAGTGGTGGTTTAGTGGTTGAGAAAGAGGACTTGGGTTCGGAAGGCTTCAGGTTTGAGTCCGCCTGCTGCCAAGTTACCACTGAGGTGGTAAAGCTTAAAGCTGCCCACTGTTCACTTTGGTGATGGGATAAAAGCAGAGATCACATTTCGTTGTGTCCAGTGGTGTGCTGTGTCACAATCACAAAGTAGTTCACTT